CAATTGAAACATAACATCTGATGTTTGAAGGTAAAACTTCATATTATTCATATTTTGGTCCTCCTATAACAATGGCAATCTACGTCAAACAAGAGAAAAGAGTGTCAGAATGCTTTTGTCATTGCATATTCACATAAGGAAAAAAGTGTTAATTGTGGGTAAATTAAAATAAAAAAGAAATCAACAAATAATATTTATCAAGGTCTTTCTAAATTCTAGAATCTAGAAAAGCTGTTTTCTTTTCCTCCATATGGAACTTTGACTTCCAACCATTGTTTGATGTGAGACACATGTTCATGACAAAAGAAAATCATAACCTAGACCATGCTGRTCATATTCATACAGTACAAAATACCAAGAGGAAGTAATCTATACTTATTTCCTTCTGCCCAAATACCAATGTCAGCAAAAACCCAGGAAAAGGTATATTCTTCATGTGCTGCAACCACAGCAGCAAAATCCTAACCTACACTATTTTAGGAAGAAGTCCACTTGCCCCCATGTCCACATATATATTATTACTGACACACAGACACGTCTGTCCTGTTTTCAAGCTATCCACTTCATTTAATCCTAACTGTGCACACCCAAAGTATTGAAGTGATCTACTAATAAGTCCTGGTTACTTCCTAGTGCAAACTAATTAATTACATTTGATTTCCAGTAACTGAAAATTTGCTACTGGTGCCCAGATTACAGAATATATCTTGCTATCATGGGGGAAGTGGGGACGCAGTGGTGGAGTGGGTAATAATCAACTTTCCTTCCAAGCAGAAGTTGTTTCTAGGTATGTCAATAGCATTATTAAATTGCAGTCTTAGTCATCTACACTCTGAACTTTCAATAGCAATCACCCAGGCTTATCAGCCTACCTGTGCACACCTCTAGCTTCTCTAYCTCTCCTTCTGCACTCCCTGGCACGCATCATGTACTTTTAGCTCATTCACTCAGGCCTACATACAACTCTCTAAGCCTACTACTCAACATATTCAAAGGCAATAAAGACCTAAAGGTAAAGATGCGTTTTCATTTGCATTCACCCACTACTCCATTTGTATTTGAGATTCCATTTTGACTTGGAAATGAAGCGATGAGTAACAGCAATTCCTATTCCACAAACTTGCCACTGTTTAACAGTCACAGTACATCCTGCATTTAAATGAGAAAATACAACTTCCTCCCTTCTCACACCTCAAAAAATATCTACCAATGCTTTAAGTAAACAGAACACTGAAACTTATATCCWCTTCACCTCTCTTCTCCCTTTTCAATTATTTCAAAGAGGACCTAAGCATGACTCTGTTACGACAGCCAAATACACCTCAAAACACATACCTCCAAAATCCCAATAAATTATGATTCTTGTCACCACACTAATCTGTGTCTGCTTTACTAGATAAAGGAGAATAATAGAGCTGAAGATCAGCATTCTAGTTTCCTGGTTTTCCTTTAATTTCTGGCACAAAAATCAAATATGAAAGTTTGAAATACAAAGTATTAAGAGGACAAAGGGCATTTTGAACACAATTCCACCCAAAACATTTAACATTACTCTTTCAGGTAATACATCTTTCTCCTGAAATGTCTTGCCTATTAGTTCCTAAAAAAATATTTTCTAATTTTTACCAGCATTCTCTTTTCTTGCTGCTACAGGAAAGCTATGGAAAAACTCACTGCCTATACAGTTGAAAGCTACAGAAACAACATGCTGTCAAATAGAGAAATTGAAACAAAAGCTATTTTTCCATACAGAGATGCCCCTGTTTCAAAGAAAGAATGACAAAACATGTATTGTATATTATTTTACTACAACAAAGCTAAAACATCAGGATATTTTTCAGRTATGAAATAGTAGAAGCGGGTTAGGGGATCTAGAACAAAGTACTTAACACAAAGATTATTAAAAATGTCCCGCATTTTGCATTAGTCTGGGCCAGCCTTTTTGTAATTTACATGAACAAGACAGACTCATCAGTACRAGGCAAGATGTCAATTCGTGTTAAATAGCAATTAAATTACTAAAACTATGACTTAATGAAAAGCTTCTGTCAAATTTTGTAACCTTTAAGCTCTCCTGTGAAGATTTAGAAGTGTCCTATCGCCCCAATGCCGTTCTTCATTTCACRTTTCCCTCTTCCTTTCCCACACGCTCAGATGTTTCAGCAGCATACTTTTAGTATTTGCAAAATCCTGCCCAAAGAGCGTGGCCGATTTCCCACGGGCTCCCTCCCCACCCTGGATGAACTCGTTACTTCCCAAAGTCCACTTCCTCTTCCACCCCTGGACCTGCCAGCGCTCCCAACGCCCCTCTGCCTTGCGCAACATCCGCGGCCTCCTCCCCACATTTCAGACAATCTCCGATGCGACACTTACACATTGAGTTTTTTTTTTTGCTTCCCAGACCACTAGCACAGACTGACAGCTGAAAGAGCTAACGATGTTCTTCCAATCCCAAAGAGCGACGCATAATAAAACGAGCTACAAAGACAGATACAGCGGGTACTAACCCGCTCTCCTTCAGCTCTTCTGTGGGTCAAACTGCATTTTGATATTATGTATTTAAATGACATTGAAAAGTGCCACCAACATCTGCCCAATAAATTTATTGTTCACAGCTCAGACCACCAATTCAAAAGATAAAACTCCCGAGATATCCTAACAGCCCGATTAAACAGCTAAAATAAACCAGGAAAAGCTCTAATTCTCCAATAGAATTTTTCTCCGAGCGTACACGTTAACCAAAGGCTGGCGGTGAACTGATCTGGAAGGAAGAAAGGACGAGGGATACAGGCAGRGCTGCGATGGGGGATGGGAGCGAAGGGAGACGTTAGGGAAGGGAAGATGAATATTCCTCCAAGGACTATCAATATATTTAACACATCTCCTCGGAAAGAAGAGAAACCTCAAACAGGCAGCTACAGGGGCAGATAAACGGGGAAGGAGGGAAGGAGTGCCCGATTATCCCCAGCTGACATCATACACGGCAAACCTGCAGAAAAGGGGCTGCAAGGGCGAGGAAGCGCTCGCAGCCCCCCCGCCCCCTCGAGCCGCCTCTGTCCCCTTTATGTGCTCAGGGAAGCAGCGGGGCGGGTGGACGAAGAGCCTCCCGGTCCATTTTGCAAGAGACGATCATCCACCACTTCGCCAGGAGCGGGGAAGGGCTGGGGCCGCGGTGACAAACCTCCCGGGGGTGAGGGGYAGGAAGGAGGCTGAACCCAGGCGGACACTCTCCCTCTCCGCGCCGAGCTCCAGAGTGGCGGTGGGCATGGGAGCCGGCCGAGCCCCGGAGCACACAATAGCAGGTCACCCCCAGGGATGCGACGCTCGCCCGCCCCGACAGCCCCTCGCAGGCGGGGGGATGGGGAAGGGGCTGCGGGTCACCCCCCGCCCCGGGGGGATGCAGGAGCCCCGCCCGCGCCGCCGCCCCTCACCATGAAGTCGCTGGCGAAGTTGTCCTCCCCATTGTGGTCCGTGTCCTTCATGGCCTGGACTCGCTTAATGAATTTCCTCAGGATCTCCTCCTGGCTCATCCTGCCCCGCCGGCCGCCCTGCGGAGCGGGAGCCCCGGCCGCCCGCCCGCTCTCCGCCCGGAGCCCCCTCCGCCGCACGACCCGTCACCCGGCTACCTTCCTTCCCTGCCTCGCCTCTTCCCCGCCCGGGCCTGCCCGCGGCCTGCTGGCTCCGCTCCCGCCCCGCTCACGGCCGCCCGGCCGCCCGCTCCATCCTCCCCTCCCTCCGCCCGACCCTCCCTGGAGCAGCCGACACGGACACGACACGGTCCCTCCTCCTCCCCGCCCGCGCAAGCGCGGCTCTCGCCCCGCCCCCTCCCCTCAGCCCCGCCCCGCCCCGGCACCGCTCCGCGCCCATTGGCTCTCCCGACMGCCGCCTCGCCCTATTGGCGGTCGCACACGCCAATCACCGGCGGACCCGGCCTCGAGGGAGCGTTCGGTGGTGTGTGCGCCTCGCCCCTCTCCGCCGGCCCCCCCTGTTTCCCGTGGATGGGACCGCCCCAAGGGCGCCTCATGGAGCGCTGGAAGGGACCACTTGGCGCGTGGGGGTGGGGTGAGGGGGGGCTGAGCGGAGCGGAGCGCGGTTTCTCCCGGCTGGAGCACAATGGGCGGCGGTGGGTGCCCGCGGCGCCGCGCCGGGAGSCAGCGGCATGTCGGGACATGTAGTCGCGACAGCGCCGCGTCCCCGGGCTGCGGGGCTGGGGGCTCACGGAGCGTCCCACTGAAACGCCCGGATCAGAAGGGTCCCGCCCCGGGTGGGAAGCCCGCAGCCGTGGGAAGTGCCAGGGGGGTCCCTGCGCTGGCTGGAATGCTCGGCGGCGGTGAAAGCCGGGCAGCGGGAAGATGGCGGGGTGGGACGGGGCAGAGGACGGGGACGGGCGCGGACACCTGGCCGGAGACAGCTCCTCGCGAATTTCTATGTATGTATGTTAAGTATATACATATATGTGTATGTTTGTACATTAAGTGTGTGTATATATATATATACACGTATGTAAGTATATTAAGTATATTTATGTGTAAGTGTATATTCTTTATGAAGTGTATACAAACATATATGTGTGGGTCTAGATAGATAGATATACATAGATACAGATCTAGATATATACATAATAAAAATGTCCGCAGGCGAGGCTGAGTCATGGAAGTGCCACCGGCAGGTGTCCGCGGGCTCCAGGCCGGTGTCAGGCGGGGAGAGGGTCCCGCACCCCTCGGCGCCGCGGCGGAAGGGCTCAGGAACCCCGCGCATTCCTACTTTGAACATATTTTAAATTCTCCGCTTTACGTGGTATTGGATGATATGGCAATGTGCTATTTCATTCTTTATTTTATATGGAAAAGTTAAACTTCTTCATGTTTGGTGTCCTGATGATATTTACATGTTCTGCTTGAGCAAAGCAAAGCAATTGTAGTGGTGCGCATATGTATAGCCTTAATAAATATTAGCTTAATATGTTAGCTTAATAAATATTCCAAGTGAAGTCTTTTAAAGTATAGTTTTATTGGTGAAGAACTACACAGCCTTGAGTGATGCAGTTGATCCAATAAAACTTTGTCACACAGGCAGATGATAAAGATCCATGCTGAGAAGAATAACCTGGTTAATTCTTGCCAAATTGCTCATTCCCTGCCACGGGAAGCGTGTGGTGCTTGCAGTCATACCAACACAACTCCTTGTTGGACAGGAATGGAACTGGCTCAAGCAACTCACTCAGCTGTGATATAAGTCCACAGGAAATTGGTGTGTTTTCTTCTCACATCATTCCATTAATCTGGTTTTGTTACCAAAAGAAACCTACAAAAAGCTTGGTCTTCCTGTATTGGTGGAAGATATTCCTGTTTTAGAAGRCTGTCAAATACCACTTCCACACCAGAACTAGTACAATGGCACASGACCACACTCAGCCCAATTCAGTGCCCAGCAACTCACCGTCTTCCTAGGCGAGGCATGGAAATGCCATTTGAGATTTGGCATAGGACCCTGAACTGTAGCTGCTACTGCATGGGCACACATTTCCTTCTTCAGCATCTGCTACAGACACAGTCATCTCCGGCAGAGGGGTAGGCAAGAAAATTGAGAGGTTTGGCATTTTAACATGGACTTGCTGCAGACTTCATCTTATAAAAGGGTCGGGTGTTTTAGCTGTTGTTCATCAATATATAGCAGACATGAGGACACATGAAGGAGCTGGGAAAGGGCACCAGTTTTGTGCTGWGGTTTAGTGAAGCCTGAGCACTCCACACAAGCACATCAGCTGTCAAAGCTCAGTCTCCTCTCCATGTYCTATGCACCAACTTCCATAATAGGCTAATCAATTTGCCCCCAAAAGCCACAAGGATACCTGCTTTTCTTGTTTTAATCCCTCTCTTCCTTCTCCTTTTCCTTCTCCAAGCCTCCTTTTCTACAATACCAAAAAAGTAGCTTTAAAGGGAAATGCAGAAATAAGCGAGACTAGACACCACAAGGACAGTTGGGGCTTGAATCACCAGATAGTTTTTCCATGTTACCTTGCAGGATTTCCATCTGCTTAGGAGGGTTGCTGTTTGCTCAGCAGGTGTCCTGGCAAACCTGCTGCCAGTGCCAGATGGCAGGTAACTCCAGAAAAGTGATACTTGAGACTAGGCAACCAATTAATGAAGTCTTGAATGTTATATGGTTTTCTTCATTTGTTCACGCAACTGAGTTATAGAGGAGGAAAAGAAAGATCATAATGAAACTGATACCATTGCTGACATGGAAAGGACCCAGTTGGCAGTCTGGCCTCATTCATAGTCTATCACTGAACTGTAATAAACTGTTGTAAACCAACCAGTGTAACAGTGGCCTTTCATTTGAGTTAAGTGATAAGAGGCTTATAGAGTCTCAGAAGACAAAAAAAAACAAAAAACCCCAAAGTACACACATGTCACAAGTCAAAACAAAGGTGTATACACAAAATAAAGAAATTAGGAACAGCACAGTGGAAAACTGTGCCTGGCATTGTCTGCATATGCATGTGTACCTGTACCTGTGAGAGCTGCCAGACACCCCTGAGCACAAACCAATAGCACCAGCTTTATCTCCCACAACCCTGCAAATGCTGCATGAAGCTGTCTCATCTCTGTGCTTTGAACAGACACCCAAACCCTCAGCAGCAAAAAATAGCATTTTAGCTAAGACTTTTTRTCTGAGGCTCGAACTGTGTGGGTTAACCCCAGACATCTGACCAATGCAGCATGTGTGCATGAGTGCGTATTTGTGTAGCTGCACCAGAGGGACGGAAAAATAGACACACAGCGTGAATTACTCACCCTRTAGATAGAACAGGAAGTTTCAGCCCAAATCTGTAGAAGAAAATCGTAGTTGTGTCTTAATCCACAAGTATGGTCCTTGGAGAAAAGGAAGTAGATCACCTACAGCTTCTCTGCTATAATCTCATCTTGCCTTGCTGGGCAATAYTCCAGCTGCTGTAGGGAACAGTTTTCCCTGTTCCAAGGTGGCTTCTCATGTGCCCACAAGRTAAACATGGTGTAAATTAGTAAATGTGCTTCCTGGTCTGCATACCGTGGTGCTGCCCCATCAATGGGTGGCACTGCTGCACATCCCCRTTTACCAACCTTGAGAGGTTTCCCTCAAGCTGAGATGAAGCACAGGCTCACCTCAAAGCTGTGGCTTGGAGCTGTGTTCAAAACCCAGCACGGATCTACCAAAAGGGTGTTACAGAAATAAACTAAAGAACTGGSGTGGGAAGGAAGGGTGAAAGAACCCTAGAGGTCTGAGCAAGGCCATCACCTCCTAATGGTTTTGATTTCTCCTTTGTGCAGCAAAACAAGACYTTGTATATTCCTTGTGATTTTGCATGACTACATTACAATGATCATTCACTTTGTCACCAGTTTCTTCTCCCCTTTGCARTAATCTGCAGACTCTTAGACTTTCACTATTTGGAGTAATGCAAAAGAACCATAATGAACCATAACACTTGATGGTATTGTGTAGTTAATAATGTAATACAGAAATTATAATTAAATTATGATAAATATATCTTATACATTAAACCTCAATTCATTTTATCTATACTGGGCATCTGAAAAGTTTTGTAATCAAAATTATTTAGGATAAAAAAATAGATATTAGGATTTATAGATTTCAAAGAACACTCSTGAAATATATTTAAAGTGCAGTTAGTTGGAAGTTTTCTAAAAATGTGGTGTTTCAATGGAAAATGTTGTTTCTGTAAAAGTTACATTTTCCACAGGAAAYGATTTTGCCAATGTTTTTCTGCTTTCTGACAAAAACAATGCACTGTTATACTTGCAGATGCAGAAATGCTTTTACCATTGAAGTCAGCACAACTTGGGTTAGGGACTCAGCACATGAAAGAACTGGAGCATGGAGYATAAATCCCAGAAAGCTGTTGAACAGCTCAAGGGTATACATAAAAACTAAGTCCAAGTGAAATATTTGTCTTTGATCTGACAAACAGAAATACAATGTGTCTTTCCACAAATGTCAAAATGTTTCATGCTGGTTGAAAATAGTTAAATGAAAAATTCAGGCATATCAGTATMACATACTTTTTGTATACTGTTGTCCTCCAAAAATTTCAATATTTAGCCACTTTTGTTTTCACAGAGGAAAAAAATAATGTATCAGATTTTTTTTGGCTAATCTTCAGCTACAATTTAACCACTTAAATTGTAAGTAACATACTAAAAGACAGCAATGCCCATGGAGTTCAAAATTCTAATTTTGAAAAACAAAAGGCATTGTGGGCAGTAGATCTGTGGAAGATACATAATATCCTTTGAATATGACAAAAAAAAATGAGTTTCTGATTTAAACCTAAAACGAATAACATTTTAAATGAATCATAAAGACCTGATCAGTGTCTGTATARTATGTTCCATTCATATTCATTAAGTGCCATGTGATTGCTGGGTTTCTTGACATTTGCCTCTATTACTCTCAGTTCAGCAATGACAGACTCCTGTAATTACCACTGAAAATACTGCCCCTACAATTTAATTTTACCTGGCTTGCTTAGTTTTTATTTACCATCTTCTGGGATTCATTGTGTGACATTGCTAAAACAATTTAAATGACATTTCTTATGCACGTAATAAATATTTTAGAACAGAATTACCGAGTTTCATGATCAGTGCATATTTTTGGAATCCTGTCTAACTGTAACATACACCCTGCTGCCCCATACACACACAGTTTCAGTACACAGAAGAAACTCTGTTCTTGCTGCAGCACTTACTGAAGCAGCATTGAGGTTTAAAGTGGTTTTTAGGGAATGCATGCAACTGAAACAAAAATAAGTGTGTGCATTATGATCATCAGCATAATCTTCTACCCTGACCAGCTCTAAAAGAAAACAGCTGTGAAATACTGTCCAGACTTAAAATGTTTCTGCTCTTTTAAAAAATTTCATTTAATTAAAAATTGTTGATTGAGGGAAAAAACCCAAATGTTTYAGAAAACAATCAAGATTTTTCTGCAAGTTTTTAACAGTATTAAAATAAATAGCATATGGGTTTCAAAATAATTGCTGTGTCTGCTTTTGGTAGTTGCTTTTTGATAGCCTCACTGTAAATCCATCCCTGAGAGGTCCAATGATTGTTATTTACACGTCACTGTTAGTGCAGTAGGAGACCTGCTTTGTGCTGTTGGATCAGGAAAATCAGGAGCCATTTTCCAGCTGAATCATTTGACCTTACTAAAACTGGAGACAGAATTTCGGAGCTCTGTCTCGTGGCCAGGCAGTGCATCTGTCCCAGCTGCAGCACTGCCATGGGCTGCTCCGGGGAGCCTCATTTGCCTCCTTGTGACAAAGCTTTCCTTGAGGGTATTCCCCAGGCACAGCCGCAGCACATCTGAAATGGAAATACCAGCAGCAGAAGGTAAGCACAGGGCATGGTAGGTATCTGTCCCCTCCAATCTTAGCCTGCAAGTATCAAAAAAAGCATCATTAAAAAAAATTTGGCATGTTTGAAAGGCACCAGGGACGAATCTGGATGTTCTAATGAGAGGTACTCACTGAAAATGTGATTTTGAAAGAGGTAATTGAATAAAAATGAAGTTTGCGGTATCCCTTGGGAAAAAAAA